TTTTATGAGATAAATAAAGTTCATTTAATAAGAAATGTAGGAAATGGGCAAAGTAAGGTCATATAGGCCGTATTCGGGCCATTTTGAGTAAAAAGCGTCGTAAACCTTAATAAAATGCTCTCCCTATACAATTTTAGGGCTTACACACATACAAATACCCAACATTGACATGTTATGAGAAATAAATAGTTCATTTGATAAGTAATGTAGAAAATGGGCTACATAGAAGTCATATAAGCCCTATTTGGGCCATGTTGAGTAAAATGCGTTGTTAAACTTCTTGAAATGCTATATTGATGTGATTTCTAGCCTTAGACACCTAATATTATCCAACAATGACATGTTATGAGAAACAAAAAGTCTATTTCACAAGAAAGGTAGAAAATGGGCTGAATAGAAGTCATATGGGCCATTTTAGAGCCATTTTGTGTTAATATGCTCTTTTGATGTGATTTCTTTCCTTATACACCTATAACTAGATAATATTGACATGTTATGAGATAAATAAAGTTCATTTAATAAGAAATGTAGGAAATGGGCAAAGTAAGGTCATATAGGCCATATTCGGGCCATTTTGGGTAAAAACCGTCATAAACCTTAACAAAATGCTCTCCTATACAATTTTAGGGATTACACACATACAACTATCCAATATTGACATGTTATGAGAAAGAAATAGTTCATTTGATAAGTAATGTAGTAAATGGGCTATATAGAAGTCGTATAGGTAATATTTGATAAAAATACATATTTTTTGCCTCATTAATTATTTTTAAAATAATTTTTTTGCATTTCAAGTTTTGCAAGGTCCAAAAGGATAGTCCGTTGACAATCAAGGAGCTTAATGAAGTTCGTGACATGTTGGCCTCTTTCATCACCTTCAACATGTAAATGGCATGCATTGTAATTGTAAATTATTTATGTTAACTTTTGAACTATATATAACTTATTATTCATTATATATGTGTACTTACTATTATTTGTATATGTAAGCAACTGTTTTTTTTTTTTTTTTTTTTTTTTTTGTTTTTTGTATTGCGTTTGGGAATATTTATATCTATATATATATATAATTGAATTCTTGTATCTAATATTATTTTTGTATATAATAATTAATAATATTATTATTAGTTATTATAATAATAAAATTATTAATTATTATATTTAATATAATTGCTGGGATTACAGGTTATTATTATTGCAGGTTTTTTTTAAAAAAATATTATTGCACGATTGAAAAAACAAAAAAACGAAAAAAAAATTATACAAAAGGCACCGGTTAGGCAGGAACCGGTGCCTAAACTATCCACCACCCAAAAAAAATGGCGGGAGAGCAGTTTTAGGCACCGGTTAACCGGTGCCTAATAAACCCTATGGCACCGATTTTGAATCGGTGCCAAATAGAAGGTTTTTGGCACCCCTCAAATAGGCAGCGGTTCAAACCGGTGCCTTAGACCGGGTTTGAACCACTGCCTAATGCCTTTTTTCTACTAGAGTGTGTCTAGAGCTTGTGAATGCGGAATTTTGTATTTGAGAAAAGGCTAGTTTAGAAAAGAGAGAGAGAATATATCAAGAATTTCTTGATGAGAGTTGGTGAATGAAAACGGAGTTTTTAGGAAGCTATTTATAGAGAAAATCAACCAAAAAGATAAAACATCAAAATAGAGTTCTGACGCGCAAAACAGGTTAGCGCCAAACGCTGACGTTAGCGCCAGGCGCTACAGCTGGCGTTTGGCGCTGACTAAGAAATCGACGCGTTTTCTTAAAATCAGATAGAAATTGCTGTACGGGAGGATAAAATCGTATTTTCCTCAAAAATGTTCTTTTATTCTGAGTAAAACTCTAAAAAGTCAACAAAAGTCAATTTATCAATACTAATTGAATTAGGAATGAAAAGATCCTTCTAGAAGAATCTAGAAGACTAAAACCATTCCTAATTGCATTAGGAATGATAAATCCATATTAGGCCCTCCCCTAGATCATTGAGCCGCATATAAGGCTCAAACCAGGCCCAATTTAGTAATTTGGTCATAACTTCCTCAATATTCATCGGACTTGGGCTTATAATATATCGTTGGAAAGGTCTTTTCAAACCCCATCCAACTACACTACTATTGGACCCATATAATGGACCAACCAAACTGGATTGGCTGTTTTATTAAAATAGGTTTTCAAAAACAGAGTGAAGAGAAAAGAAATTAAAACTATCCGCAACACTAAACTTTCCACACTTTCACTTCATTCGATTATGATTCGACGTGAAAGGTACTCGTCACTGGGTTTGGTTTTGGGGAGACACGAATGGGTGTCTACAGAAGCCCCCACTTTGACTGAGTTTGGAGAAACGCAAGTTTCGAAAACAAAAGTCAAAGTAGCGATAGGGACGGAGAATGATTCAGAACGTTCTGCGATCCTAAATCACTCTTGTAATGTCGATACCTGCAAACTAGCGTTAGTTAAACATATAAAAGAGTTAAGAAACGCGTATCTTGCACCGTCGAGCACACGTCTCTGAAAGTAACCGATTTGTTGCTGTATTTTCTGTTTTGATGACCTCCTGCCAAGAGAATGCCATCCCGCTTGAAAACCGCTACGCTTGTAACTGCTTCCAATATTGAAGATTGTTTCTCTTGAAACAATTTTCTTCCACTTTATGACCATCTTCCACATCTTAGGGAACACGATCGAGGACAACTTCGCTTGAAATCACCTTCAGTTATTTGTGAAAACTCTCCACAATCTAGGGAACAATACCGAAGATATCCTCGCTTGAAGCTATCCTCATTTGTTGAGATAATCTTCCAAAGGAAATTACCGAAGATCTCCGCTTGTCGATCTTTAAAAGTTCGCTTGAACTTTGCTTCCGCTATGCCTGTACGTCGGCGCTTTTGCTGCTTTTGAACCTGTATGTCGGTGCCTTTTGCTGAATGAATGAACCAATATGTCGGTGTTTTTCTGAATGAACCAGTACGTCAGTGCCTTTTGCGATGAGCCAATGCTTAGGCGCTTTAAGCCAAGTGAGAAGATCTTTCATCAGGTCGATCACTTTGTGTAATCAAGCCGATTACTAAAAATCGTGTCAAATTGCTTAGAGGGGCTAACTGGCGTACCAAGGAACCCAAAACCTGTTGCAAAAGGTTAGAACAACCGTACTGAAGGGCTGAACATTCAGGCGCCGCTGAAATAACATCAGCGCCAATAATCTGGCTTTAGCGCCAGACGCTGGAGCTAGCGCCAGGCGCTACGCCTATCAACTGACGCCAAAGTCTGGCGCTTGGCGCCAAAGTCGGGTATTCCTTAAATACCCTTCCCTTCTTCATTTTCGCTGCTGCTCGTCGCATTTTTTGCTCGAAAATTTCCAGAAATTCATTTGCTTCGTTCTTGCTCGTTTCTCAACCAAATTCGCTCAAATTTGTTACAAATCAAAGTTCATTCCATCCATTTTCCCGATCTATGTAAGTTTTCTTCAAACTCACACCGGTTTTAATGAATTTTTCATGTGTTTATTCCCGAATCTCATGAAAATTCAAAATTTAGAATGCTTAATTCTCTTTGTTTGTCAAATTTTATGTCATGAAATTGCTTGATTATTTTTATATATTGCCTTGGGAGTAATTTGAGACTTGTTTGACTTAATTTGGTGAAGAAATGAACGAATTGCCATTGTTGAACCTCTTAAGGTCGGGAATACAATGTGGCTTGTTCTTGATGTTTTTGCTAGCAATTCTTGTCCAATTGGTCACAATAATTACTATAGTATTGCAAGAAATTGTTTGATTGCTTGAAAAAATGCTGTTATGCACAATTTGAATTTGTGCTCTGTTTTAGTACTACGTACTCTGTTTTTTTTTTTTACGAATATAGTATCATGCGGCTAGGCGAACCTTAGATATTATAGAACCTTAATTTATGAAAATTCTGCACAATGTAGCATGGCTAGACAACGAGGTTCCGGTTCACGATCCCGAGACGTTCGACGGGAGCATGAGCCCGTAGAGGACGATGTTGAGCCGTCCACTTCGCTTGGTCAACTCCATGAGTGGGATGAGCGGACATTGTACTTTTCCTCCGTCCACCATATCTCTAAGAGGGTGAGACGGGGCATCACTGTTGGGAGGACGCGCTGTATGGTTCCGACTGTGACGGCTTGGGCGATTTGTACAAGATGTACATCGCCAGAGATGATCAGACGAGACTTCACTACTACAAAACCCATGTAATTTCGACACTATAGCCTCGACACTATGGACGCCCGTCAAGGGAAAAATGTAGTTCGCGCCTCACCTCGACGGTTTTTAGTGTCATAAGCAGGAATTGACAATTAAAAGTGTCAAAATTATCATGTGGCCCATGTAATGAAAAGAGGCCCAGTAGTTTCAAGCCCGCGAAATGAAATTTTAGGCTGAAAATTATAGGCGGTCATTTGAAAGTTAAAAAAAAAAAACAAAAAAAAAAGAAATTAAAACAAAACCCATTACACTACACGCGTACAGTACTACTACCAGAGTACCAATTCAAAGCGCGCGATTAGTTTTCCTCTTCGATCTTATTAGCTTATGAACCCTAACATTACCCCTCTTTTGATTTCGTTATTCACATCGATCTCAAAAACAATTGCTTCTCAATCGCTCATCATCATCCAAGATCCGATATTTGAAGGTATGTTTTTTTTTTTTTTGTAACGAACGAATGAATTCACTGAGAATAGCAAACTGAGAACGTATGAAATTTTTGTAGGGATTTATTTGTGATTAGTGTTAATTATGAAATTTGTTGTTATAGATGAGTTAGAATCTTGATTGAATTATGAAATACATTTACAAATTATCTAAAGATTTAGATTTGTACCATCCCTTTAATTTTTCAGTAATTTTTTTCTTAACTTTTGTCAATTATGAATTGTCAATTACGAAGATGAAATTAACAATTGCTCTTCTTTAATTTTCCAGTTTTTTCGTCTAAAATCCACTCTAAATTATCATTTATCAGTTTGCATGTAGTGGACCCATTCCGCAAATTGAGGTTTGGAATAACAATGGTGTTAAATATGTTGTGCAGTTCAATGATTTTTGCCAACCAATTCGAAAAGGTGGGCATATATTGGTCCAATTCCTTGGTAGCATTGCAAAAGAAGAGCGCTTCTGCCCACTTTCAGAGAAGACTTGGCGTAAGTTGGACGCCTCTTTTAAGAGGGACATCTGTAAAGCAATAAGGGTATATATTCCATTTATCACTTAGTTAAAATTTGTTTGGATTATTATATACATTTGCTCATGGATTAAGGACCGCTTTGTGATCCCCGATGAGGAGAAGTATTACACCCAAGCTCTACAGTTGATAAAGTTTGGAGGAATTATAAGCATGATCTTAAGAAACGATACTTTAAACCAGATGAGAAATCAATAACAGAAATTGTTGATAATCCCCCAAATGGAGTTAGCAAGAGTAATTGGGTTAATTTGGTTAACTACTGGAATTCAGAGAGAGGGAAAGTAAGTATTTATCATATGAATTTTACAGCTATCGCAATGAAATCATATATTCTGTTTCATTTTTCTCTATTATAAATTTTAAAAGTTGTATGAATTATTGCAGGAATTGTCTGAAATCAGAAAAGAGGCAAGAGCATCTCTAAACCAAATTCATAATTATGGTGGTACAAGCTTTGCGAATAGACGTGCTGATTATGTATGATTTATTTACCCATTGATTACAAATATAATGCATAGTGATGCATAAAATTGTGGTTGGCATTTTTTGAAAACAATTCAATATGTAACCTATATATCTCTATTATTCTAATTTATAGGAAGATGAGCACGGAGAAGAAATGAGCCTATTTGAACTATGGAAAAAATGTTATAGAAGGAAAGATGGAACTTTTTACGAAGGCACAGACACAGAAGATTTCCTGGTATTAGTTCTTTTTGGTTGTTTATCTTCTGATTTTTGATAATTTGACTCTTAACATATACATATGTCATATATGTTTGTGCAGGAAGATGTTAAGGCTAAGGTTGAAAGCTTAAGGCTTGCATACCCTGATGGTTCAAAGTCGCGTATTGAAATAGAGAATGAAGCTTTTGAGGCTACACTGTATGGTGGACAGATTCCTGAAAAACCACAAGGCTTGTGTTTTGGAGTTCGAAGTGGAGACATTTATGGGGTGCGTGGTGCACTTAGAAAAGAAGGGATTGGAAAAGGAAATAGAGTTGTGGAATTGGGCAACATGTCATCAGAGGTATCAAGTTTGAAAGAAGAAAATAAGGAGCTTCATAAGCAAAATGAAGAGATAAAAGGAAAGTGTGATGAGAATACAAAGCTACTTAAGACAATGACAACACTATTTTCTCAAGTTTTAGAATCCATTCGTAGTGGAGAAGGTTCATCACAACTTCTAGATACTGCACAACTAGCCTTGCGTATGGCTAACCCTCAGGTAATTATTTATGCCACTGGATTCTATTTAATTATTTATGTTGTGTTATCATTTAGTTGGGTGTTTCCTGGTGTTCTTGATTTGTTCATATTTTTTGTAAGGATATAAATAACCAGAAATGAATCGATTGGGTGTTTCTTGGTGATTCTGATCTGTTCATATTTCAATGTGTTAGAACTTAATAAAAATAAAGCAGGGAGTAGGAAGTGGAGTAGGTGAGGCAATCAACACTTTGCTGTAATGCAGATCATTAGGGAGCAGGGGGTAGAGTAGACGAGGCAGTTGAGCTCATAAATATGATTTGGGGCTTCCTAATTAGAAGATAAATATGATAACAACATCACATTGAGATCTGAAAATAGTTTGGTATATATAAATGCATTGAACAGAAGAAAAAAAAAAAACTTGAGAACAAGTGGTCACATGACTCTTGTTAATATCCCATTTTGCGTCTAGAATTTGTATGCTTCAGTATATATGGTTGGGTTCTACTGCTAGATGGCTGCCACCGCTTGCAAGAGCTATGTAAGTGAATGTAGATGCGGGCTTTATTTGGGAGTTGGGTTGTGGTTTGGGTGCTGTTGTGAGGGACAAGGAAGGGGTATTCAAGGCAGTAGAGGTGCAGCAGAGTAGTACTAATTGGGAGGTAAGGGTGGTAGAAGCAAAAGCTGTGATGTGTGGGCTTCGGCTTGCTGCAAACCCGGGGTTGCGAGAGGTAATCATTAAGAGCTATTGTTTTGTAAATAATTTGAGAGCGGTTGTCTTGAGACTGATTGTTTTGTTGCAAACCTGAGGTAATGTGTTAATTATTTTTGCAAAACCTATATCCTACTAGCTGGTTCCAAGAATTTATTTCAAGTAAAATCTGATTCATAACTATACAATGTTTGCAAAAAAATGATCACTAACCTAGATTAACGTAGTATAGAAAATTCTCTAATGGGATTCAAGTTGCACCAGGTTGATTGGGATCATTAAGATTTAAAGCATGCAGCTACTTTGGCCATTAGCCCCTTTATTTTTTATATTTTTTTTTATTATTTTTCTAAAAAATTTGCACTGTTATTTTATATTTATTAATTAGCTTGTGGGAGTTATGTTTGTTCCCTTTACTTATTACCCTCCTGATTGCTTCGACATATATGCTGCTGAAATTCCAGACATTGCACCTTAGCCCTCTGCTGTTCAGTTTCATTCAAGTAGCTTATTTTGCTAACATCAGGCTTTTGAACTATATCTTCTCTCCCTGCCAACTACTGAAGTCTATCATATATACTTATCCTAAGTTTGCTTTATATTATAGTTTATGTGCTTGTAAGTTAAACTTAAATCACATACAGTGGCTGCTATCTAATTAATATATATTATCTCGCGTTTGTGTTAAAAAAAAGTGGGAGTTATGTTTGTTATATATGTACAGTAAATTACTTACATTTTTTAATATCAATTTCAGGTGTCTAATGACTCCGTAGACCATGGAGGCGGAAGATATGAATCAAGGGATGCTTAGCTCGTTTAACCATTGACTCAGATTAGGAAACTTGTAATTATATTATTTGGCTAGATTTGAATGGTTTATGAGATGACCATAGATTCAACAGGTTGAAGATCATATATTTTATCTTTGAGGTTGTCTTTTGGATTCTGAAATTAGCTAAGAATAATTATGTAGTAGTTCAAACATATTATATGATAAGCTTTACTTTAAATGTTATGGTACGATGTTTTATAATTATTTTAGACTATATATTTTGGACGTACGTACTATTATTATTAATTATATTACCTAGCCTCTTAATTTGTGAATTTTTTTTTCAAAATTGCAAATTCGGATTAGTATTTATACATATTGAAATATTCCATTGTCCTAGAATTTTAGAAAAGAAGGGAACTCAAATTCTCGACGCTTTTAAACGTCCATCTAATATCCCGCCAACACTTGCTATGAGCCGCAAAATTAAAACTGCCTACATTGAACTGCGTCGACAACGAAATACTTCGATAGTTAAAAGTGTCGATATTGTCGACGCTTTAAAGCGTCAAATAAATATTTAGATAGGCAAAAGTGTCGACAGTATCGACGCCTAAAAGCGTCGAGAATTCTCGATGGCTAAAATCTCGACGCTTTACCAAAGCGTCAAGAATTAATTTTTCGACGCTTTTTGCCGTCGAGAATATGAAAAAAAGGCGTCAAGATTGAGCGGGTTTTGTAGTAGTGCTTCTGTGGGAGTCTTGCGGTCTTACGGCGCTGTACGAGACCTCCGAGGCAATGGTTGCCTCTAGCGGGGGTCATCATGTAGTTCGTGCTCTGGTAGAGTTCTTTTGGGACACCACAAACACTTTCCACTTTCCCTGGGGTGAGATGATGGTCACTCCTACCGACTTCAGTCTCATCACAGGACTGGAGTTTAGCTTCGTGCCACTGCCGTTCGACAGCGGGATCGACGTCTTTTCCCCTGAGGTCGAGGAGCTGTTGGGTCCGATTGCTATTCGGGCTCGAGCTGAGGTTGAGTCGACTCAGTTCAGTGCTAGGGGGATTCGCCGCTCGACTCTAGTAGTAGCTTTTGACGATGGTGCGACTATCCGAGAGCAGCGGGTGCACATCTATTCACTCATCTTGCTGTCAAGGACGTCCCTTGACAAGGGTAGTAGGGCGCTGCTTTACTACCTTCATGCCATCCGCGATCTACACCGGATCGGGACTTATGACTGGGCCAGCTTGGCCTATGCTGATTTCATTCGAGCGTTTCGGGACTCATGTCGACATCGATCCTTTGGGTCGAATGTTGCTTTGTCCGGCTTTTGGAGGGTCGTAGAGGTAAACCTTATTCCCTATAAAGTTTAGATCTACATTTTAGTTAGAATTTGCTGATAACTTTAGTTTCTTGTAGATCTGGTTCTACGAGTACTTCCCTTCAGCTGCGCCGGCGAGACCATCGCCGCGCAGGCTTCCAGTTAGCGCTTCCTGGGGTAGCCGCCGTGTGGGGATGTCCACTGCCTATGTTCAAGATTGGCTCATCTCGGTATGATTCTTTTCTCGTTTGACATTTTGTGATGCCTTAGATAAATTCTTGCCTGACTGACGCTCTTTGCAGAAGCCTAAGGTGGTGTACCGACCGTGGGTCGACCTGGCAATTGAAAGGAATTGTGTCCTTCGAACAAGTGTATTATTCTTATAGCGGGTTCAGAATTATTAGAAAGCTTATATATTCAGTAAGGCCGCTTCCGATCAGTAATATTAATATAATTAATATTACAGCTTAATCTTGACTGAACCCTTCGGGTCACACCCAAGCAAAATATACGAACCGACTCGACGAATTAATTTGGAAGAAATAAATTCGTCGCCCGAGTGTTAAATATTTAGACGTCGGAAGTCGAGTCAAAAATAATAAAAAGACGAGACGCGCAAAATAATAATAAATCGACCATATTCCCAAAATACCCCTAGCATCGGAATTCCCCGAGCATCCGAATTCTAGGGGCAAAAATGTCCAAGCATAGGTGGCTAGCAAGCGCACCAAGCTGAGCCTAGCATGGCTGGCTAGGTGCAAGCTAGCGCAACCTGCTAGCAGCCACGCACAACAGCGGCTAGCAGTCGCGTGCACGTGGTGCGTGCAGCAGCTAGCTGCCGCAAGCTAGGCGTGCTAGCAGCGCACGCACTAGCAGCCACACACAGCAGCAAGCCCGCACCAAGTGCGTCGCTTGCGTGTACAACAGCAACCCGCATCTTGGTGCGGGGCTGGGCTCGGCCTGGGCTCGTGGCTGGGACATAGGGCCGGTCACTATGGGGAAGCTTGAGGAATATGGGAGCAAGTGGGTAAGGACATGTGGCACAAGGGGAGTATTGAGTGGGGAGCAAGTATGGTCCCCTACTCTCCATGTGGTCCTCACCAACCCATTTCACATGGTAATGCCACTTGTAGATTTATTATTAGTTTCCAATTTTAATTTAATTTAGCTTTAAATTAATTTGTGGAATTTCATGATCCCACATTGATGGGATAGAAATTCCCACTCATACTTTCCCCTATAAATATCAACCTTGGGATTTGGAGTAAAGTGCTTGAGTGGGAGTTAGAAAGAGCACTCCATATTTTGGGAAAAATTCTTAAACTCCATTAACACTTGGGTTTTGGTCGGACCTTGCTAACTCCAAGTAGCGGACCTTAAAAGTCGTGTTCGTCCTTTGTGGGTGGATACCGTTGGAGGCACAGCATTTGCGGTGCTCAAGGCTTTCAAGTAAGAGCCCGTTTTGAGAGGGCGAAGCTCGCTTCAAGGGTATGATTCGTTCTTCCTTTTCTTGTGTTTATTTATTTATGTTTTATGGTTTTATTAATTACGAGTGGTTCCTTGGGTCGGGGTTGTTTCCGCGATGAGTCGGACTCACCAAACCCCAACAGCGGTATCGGAGCCCCGCTCGTTTATTTTTATAATCATGTTTTTCAAGGTTTATTTTGGCTTATTTTTCTGGTTTAAGTTGCTAATTAGATTAGTAGCTCGGTTTTATTTATTTTAATCCCGTCTTTAATGTCGAATTTGGCCCAAAACACATATTTTCGCCCAAAAATAGTGAATTGGGTGGAAAAGGTGTTCTGGAAAGGTTTTTACCCCTTCGGAACTGTGATTTTAGCCAAATTCTGACCAGAAATGCCTTTTTCGAGGGATTTTTCGTTTTTGACGAAAAATTTTAAGTCTTTTCTAACCTTGAAATTAATGGCATAACTTGTTGATTATGTGGTTGATTATTTGCATTATTTTTTTCTTTTTTAAGTCCCCTTAAAGCACACTTACTTGGTAGTATTTGATGCTTAAAGGTTGATTTATTTTCACATAATTGCAAACTAATTGCTTTTTAGTGTGAAATTTTTTGTTTTGAGGCTTCCTAAGTGTTAAAGATTCAATCTTTATTTGTGATAAGTGATTGAAACTTTAAAAACCACTAAATTCCATGTTATTTTGTGTTAAACTTTGTTGTTTTAATCATTTAGAGTTGATTAGAAACATAAAGTTTCAATTTTTGTGATAGAAATTTGGTTATCCTCATGTTGAAAGATATAATTTTCAAGGATTCACAAAATTTAGATGTTGGAATTTTCATTTGAACATTAAAGTTCATATTTTTCCAACTTCCCCTTACTTTGTCAAATTCTCAAGTTTAATTTAAATTGATTAAATTAAAAGTGAGAAATTGCCTCAACTTTGTTATTGCACCAAGCTAAACCAATTTAATTAAGAATGGTTCTTGGAATTATTTAGGTTATTTGCACTTTGAAATTTTATTAAGTTAGACTCGTTTAAAATTTTTATTTTTTGCTCATTAAGTTAGTTCTAAAATTAATTTAGAATTAATTAATTATGTCTCGCGAAATGGGATCAAATCCCGAGGCCATGGAACGCAAAACGAGGCAAAGAACCACCCTTGGCTAGGCGGGCTGAGGCGGGCTGCTATGCAGCCCGCATGTGGCTGCCCCGCCTTGCGTGCGGCCACACGCGCGGCAGCAGCACACGGCCGCAGCAGCCACGCACCAGCAGCCATGGTTGTGCGTGCGCGTGCGTGCGGCAGTGGCAACAGCCCATGGCTGCTTGCCGCGGGCCGTGTATGCGAAGTTTTTTTGTGTGTGCATATGCTTGGTGCGGTGAGGTGAATAGCCGTAGTATGCTTGGTTTGCATGAGCCGCGACTATTCGAGTTTCCTTGGCAAAACGCTGAAAGCGAAAGCCACTTGAAATGCGGTTGGCTTAATATTGCTTATTTTACTGTTTTATTTATTTTAATTAATTTTGTTTATTTTAATTAAAATTTTGGGAGGCTAGGCCTCGGTTTTGAGCGGCATTGGAAAAATTTTATTTTGACAAGTTTGGGTGCTACCGACTTAATTAATTGGATTAATTAAGGGAAATGCGGAATTTAGTGGGAGCTTCAATTAATTAATGACGTCAAATTACATAATCGGTTAAACAACTTTGACTAGTTTTAATTACGCGTGTTAATCGGATTAACCACCTAGATTAGTTACTAGTGCGCGCGTTGTTTAAATGCATTTTACTTGTTTGATATTGTAAATTGCATGGGCCATTCACAAATAGTGAATGGATGAATGGAATATATATTCTCTCTCACAGGTTTTATGAAATGGAAACTAGTGGGACCCGATTAGGATAGAAAATACGGATTACGTGCCGTTATGTATTTTTGTAAATCTAAATACGGTCTATGCACCGTTAAGTATTTTTGTACCTTAATATTTAGATTATTCCTAGTTGTAGACACTAGTATTTGCATAGTTTGGTTAAGTCTTGAAGACGGCGTATCTTGGAAGACAAAGCCTTGAATTGTAAATGAAGACCTTTTGAAGATTTGAAGAATTCAAGGGGTCATGCTAGTTGCCAACATGCATCTATAATTTCGCTTTATATTTTATGCTTATATACATGTGAATTATTCGTTAGATGCATGTTTAGGTTTTCTTTATGTTGCGATGATTAGTTAAGTTCACTTAAATCAACCAACATAGAAATCCTAGGTCCCTAATAATATTGAGTCAAACTTGCCTTTCCAAAACAACACTTACCAACCGAACGAGGGTGATGGTAGGCTACGCCAAAGCGAGGTGCCATCACTTCTCCAAGGCTCATAAGGCACACCGGGTGTGCACGTTGGTTTTGGTTTAACTCATCAGTATGAGTGAGGAGTCCTCACATACCGTGGTAAAAGAGATACATTGTCAAAGATGC